CATTCTCTCCGTGTCTGCATGGGTTTCCTCCGGGTACTCTGGTTTCCTCCCACAGTCCAAAGGTGTGCAGGTTAGGTGTATTGGCCATGCTAAATTGCCCATAGTGTCCAGGGGTGTGTAGCTTAGGTGGGTTATAGGGCGATGGGTCCGTGTGAGATGCTTCAAGGGTCAGTGTGGACTTGTTGGGCCAAAGGGTCTGTTTCCATACTGTAGGGATTCTATGATCTATGATTCTATGATCAAAATGCATTACCTCATTTGTCTAGATTAAATGCCATCTGCCATTTTTTTCTGCCCGTGCCTCCAATTGTTCTATATTCTGCTGTATCCTCTGGCAATCCTCCTCACTTTCACAATCCTCCAAATTTTGTATCACCCGCAAACTTACTAATTAGATCAGCTATGTTTTCCTCCAAACCATTCATGTAGATCATGAACAGCAGAGGTCCTAGCACTGATCTCTGTGTCACAGCCCTCCATTCCGAAAAGCATCCTTCCACCGGTACCCTGTGTCTCTATGACTAAGCCATTAGCTTGCTTCTGGATTTATAACAATGATTTTAGCTTAGAATTGGAAAGTGTTTTTGGGCAGTTGAATGGAGACCTTACAGCAATCATAGGCAAGTAAAGCCTCTCCTAGAAAAAGAGATGGTTGGAGCAGTTAAGGAAGTAAGTTAGGTCAGTGAACAGTGTAGCTTTTGAAAGTTCCAGACCACGAATATTGGATTGGTTAGACCTCTTTTTAGATTATTTCTAAAAATCTGGGCAACTCTCTCTAACATCTCAATTGTTTAATATTCTAAAGAAAAGGCCTCACATCTTTCAGGTTAGGAATAGAGAGAAAGCAGACACATCAAACCTACAGATTGGACAAGAAGGGAACATTTTTTCTAGGTTTTGAGCATTGAATAAATATATCTTAATTTTACCACATGCACGAAATCATATGAACAGTTGCATGCAATTGGTTTGGCTTCTTTTATTCTTTTGGGTATTAAACCTTTTGTTACAACCAAATCTGCAGCCTTGTGTACTTGCATTTCAAGAAAAATCAGCTTGTTAAAAACTGAATCAAGCTAGATTTCATTTTGGAATCTGACTTTGTCCAGTAGTAACCTCAAATGGAACCTTTTTAATAATCCTATGGCTTTTTAAGATGCTTCCACCTTTCATGTTTTATCTCATGTGATGCAGTGTAGATGCTGAAGTTCTGAAGTAAAGGCAAAATGCTAGAGAAACTCGGAAGGCTTCGCACTATTTATGAAGGGAGAAACAGAGTTAAGGTTTCAATCCAAAATACTTCTGTTTTCATCTCAGGTTTGATCATTTCTTTTGCCTTTAGTTATTTACTATCGTATCTTTTGATCTGGTCTCCCAATCTGCCTCTGCCTCTGCCTCTGCCTCTGCCTACTTAATTAACACTGTTTCTCATTGCATAATATTAGATCCAAAATAGCATATTCTTGAGTTAGTTTCTCCAGGAACTCATCGTAACTACTACTTTTATCTCTTAGATTTTCATATAGATTGGAAAACCAAAGACTGCCAGGAATAAGAATTAAAGCGTGCTTCTCTATCTCTCTTTATATTTCTTTCTCCAAACTATTCACCTACAATGGTTATGCTGACATATTAACCATGCCGACATTACCTACTGGTTTTCATTGTTAGCAAAGCTAATGTATACTGTATTTTAACTTCTACCTATTAAAGTGAATTCAGCAACTTAATGTTTGGGCGTGGCAATTAGAGTCACTGTTGATAAATGAGATGTTCATGATGAAAGCGTTTCTATTAACAAAGATAATAGAATAAAATTTGTGTTTGTTATTAAGTAAAAGCATCTAATCAAAATTAAGTTTATTAAATCTCTGACTATAAATGGATTATTGAGATCACTAATTAAATCAATTATTTTAATTAACTTGCAGATTTAATTGGAATGTACACACAAGCTTTCGAACAGTAACAAAGTGTTGTTTAAATTAATTTTTCTGCCAACAAAAATAAATTATGAAGGAAGGCAAAGCAGTTTTCTAAAATAACATCGCTAATGTAGTGGTCAGCAGGTAACAACCTTATCATTGCCTAATGACTAAAGATCAAAAGCATAAAGATTAAATGACAAACTCGAATCAAACAGTTAAAGAATTTTTAAAAATATATTGTTAATGCTGGAGATCTGAAAGAAGTAGCAGGTCTAGCAACTTTTCTGGAAAGAGTTATTACTGTTTCAAGTCCAATTTGACATCTTTGGAATTTGCTCATTCACTAGTGAATTTGTTTAGTAGTCTCCGTTCCAAATGCGGTTAATCTGTCAGAACTACCAAATTATCTATTCACAAAATGATTGCAGTTAGTAATGATGTAGGTGATTGGTTATGCTTTGTAAATTTAATCATTTTCTGCCCTTCTAGATAATAGTGAATGATAACTAGATGGCATTAAGTATGGGATTTATTGTGCAGTAAGATCTCTTCTAAAGCAGCTGTGTTTTGTTTTTGAAAACTGAAAAGAATTAGTTTTATTTATATGCCTGATTGTGATTTTTCTTTTTAAATTGGCACAAGAATAGTTGTAATTGAGCCAAGTGTGTGGTGGTGTTGAATGCTGCTTGATTCATTCCTTTGTATGAGCCCTGTGGATGAGTTTGAGAGCACCCACAGGTTGGTGCTTCCCTGTGCAAGTTACAACTAGCTGACGACATCAGCAGCCAATCAAATTTAAGTGTTGTGTGTTTAAGGAACATGTAGCTTTTGCTGTGTATATGGGTGGACTGTCTCCATCTTGCAGATGTTGTCAGTTTTACTGTTAACTCTTGCTGTGCTGACTGCTGCAGATGTGGAAAGGTGGTTTTCAGCCTCTCACTACAGCTGCAGTGTAAGTGACGGATCTGGTATGGATCAGCGTTTATTACTCTTCTTCTTTAGAGGACCACTTCAGTTTTGCAATCGTTCTACAATATGCTGTGGTTTGCAATTCCCCAGACTCTACCTTGTTTCTACTTGGGTAAATTAAAAAGCTGCAGAGAAACAAATTTTGCATGGTTTTAATGTATTTTTTTAAAAGACGAGTCATTTTACTTCCAGCTGTCTTGCCTATCAGGATGCTGGGTAAGGTTTGTACAAGCTAGAAATGTGAAATCAGTGAATGTTGAATTGCTACTGCTCACATGCATGGAAAATACAGTCAGGTGTGCAGTAATAAAGGACATTTAATCACAGTTTTTTAAATTTTTTTTGAAGCTTGCAATGAGTGGTTTTTAATCCCAAGTTCCAGTGAATACAGTGGCAAATAATTTTCCATTGCATGCAAGCCACCCAACCAAGGCACCTTTCCTTTGTTTAGTGCTCAAGGGAGGTGGTTTCTGCTCAGTCCAGCATGTAGTGAGAGAATGCAACATCACATCATTTGCTTATCCCTAATTGTCTTTGAACTGAGTGGCTTGGTAGACCACTTCAGAGGGCAATAAGGAGTCATTCACATTGCTGTGGGTCTGGAGTCTTGTGGAATTTAAATTCTACCAGCTGTTGTGGCGTGTTTTGCTTCTGTGTACAGTAGCCATACCAATAACCTGTGGATTTCTAGTCTGGTTAAATTACTAGTACCTCACCATCTCCACCACCCACATCTGAAGGATCACCTTTGATAAACTGAACTAACTCTATAAACCAGTAACCTTATGACAAGTCAGAGGTTGGTTATCCTACAAATAGCAAGTCACCTTCTGATTCTTTAATAGGGCAAAACGTTGGCAGTATGATGAAATACTGACCGCTTGCCTTGTTGGGTCCACCTGCAATAACATGCTAGCAGTTCATTGCCATCCAGGACAAAGCAATCCACTTGAATGGTACCCATCGACTTTCTGCATTACCAGTGTGCAGATAGCTGTACAATTGAAATGCAACAACATGCATTGAGCCTTCTGCAGCACTCTTCAAACTTCTGACTTGCATCACTTCAAAGGAAAAACAGTGGCTTTACCTCCTTTAGATCACATACCATCCAGACTTGGACACTTAATATCTTCCATTATAGTCCCTGGTTCAACATTTCTGGCAATCCTTATTAAACAGCATTATTGTTTAATTAGTCTACCTTCACTATGTGGACAACAATGGATCAAGAAGGTGGTTCACTATCTCACTTGCTCAAATGCCAGTAGAGGTGAGCAATAGAATGTCAGCTAGCTGGCAAGACCAGTTATGCCAACATTTAAAATAGAGGAAGAGAAACAGCAAAGAAGAACAAAAATAAAGTTGCTGGAAAAGCTCAGCAGGTCTGGCAGCATCTGTGAAGGAAAAGACAGAGTTAACGTTTTGGGTCCGGTGACCCTTCCTCAGAACTGGTGGCTGGGAAGACGTCAGTTTATATGCAGAAAACAGGGAGGTGGGTAGGGTAGGGAGTAAACGATGGGATAGAGCCCAAAGAGAGAGAAAGACAGTTGGACAAACAAAGGAGTTGCTAACGATCAGGCTGGGAGGGTGAATAGTTGTTAATGGGGACTGTTAGTGATTAACAACAGGGGGTGTGTAATGGCAGGCTATGTGATAACAAGGCCTGGTGTGTGGGTTGGGGGACTGGGACATGGGAGAGTTTAGGCCCTAAAGAAGAAGCCTTCCACAAGAAGGAGGATGAAATTTTTGAAAGGAGTTAATGTTGGCTTAATCGCGATCGGCACCAATAGGTTCAAGCTCCAGTATAGATACTTGAGCACAACACCTGAGCTAGCATCTAACATCTGTCTGGGTTCATTACAAAAAGATGATAGTTAAAGTGAAATGGAAATGGCATATTAATGCTGTTAGAACTGCCCTTATATGGCAAGCAGTTAGGCAGGCTTACCACAAAATATAGAGCTTTCCTTTGCATTTCCCTTCAAGGAATAATTGTTGCGGATCAAGTTAGAAATATGTCATGCCCCTCATTTCTATCATGCATGAAATAAAAACGATGGCTGTAATTAAATTTTCTGTTTCTCTACTCTTGTCATGTAGACTCAGTTGATTTTATTTTCATTTTGGCCGCGATGGTGCTGAGCAGGACTGAATGCGAAAGACCGTGTGTGCTCTGAAAAGCTGACTATGTACAGTCTCCCTGGAAGGAGGTCACCTGGACAGGATGCTGAAACCTGCTCTCGTCCCCTGTCTCAGGCCCGTGTCTACTTGGAGCAGATCCGGAGTCGAGTGTCTCCCAGCATCTCAGAGAGCCATCAGGCAACCAGAAGCACAACCAGCAAAAGAGACTACCTTGTTGATGCGGCGAAGCAGATACGCTTAGCCTTGGACAGAGAGGTTAATGAGGATTATGAGGCTGCATTTAACTATTACAAGAATGGTGTGGATCTGCTACTGAAGGGAGTGCAAGGTATACATTTCATTTGGAGCTTTCAAGTGTTTTCATCCACTGTAATTTATAATAGATTAGTTCCTTGAGGGACGGATGAAGAACAAAATGTGCATGCATTCGTGATCATGGTATTGTTTTGATGTAGCTGAGGCTGTCCTGCAGAGATATTTGCAACCCAGACTTTTTGGAGTCCTGTATTGCTCACTGTATTTAAAGTTTAATTATTTGCACACCTTGCCAAATCTATTACTTGTTGCATCAGTAACTCATTCTGTAAATGTATTACGTTTTGATCATGCGTCTGTACTGAGGTAATGATTCTAGCCAGGATAGTGGTGAAAGTAGTCAGCTTAATCGGATTGCTTAGGGTTAGATCAGGGTTACAGTCCGTGACGTATGTTACTACAGTCTGAGTGTAGAAGAACAGTCGGATATGGATAATTTAATTTTTTAAATCAAGAACTAATTTGAATTGGCTCAAAGTATAATGTGCAGCTTCTGCATGATCAATGTACGAAAGATTGAATGCTCTCTTCCTTTTCCCTGACGTCATTAGTATTGCTTTTACCTTTTTATTAATGTATTTAATTAGCTTTTAAAAAAAGAGGTGGCGCTCAACTCGGCTATCTAGCTTTGCCTAAATGTAACAAATCAACAGATCTTGAGGGTGGGTCTTGTGTGGAAAGCTGTAATTGATTTCACTGCCTCCGTATCATGGTGGCGCAGATTAGTCTGCTCACTCTGGAATTTGTACAAGACAGGATGGCATTTATTAGGGAGGCTTTACACATTGAGCAGCCTAGTGATGTTCATTCTGTGTAAGATCACAGGTAGGTGAGGGTTGCTTTGGTGAGACGCTTGACATTTTGCACCATCCAGGGATCTGCAACGTACCACAGAGCCAATACATTTGGGGCAAGGGGACAGAAAATTGGTAATCAAATAACGCTTGTTAAATAAAGTATGAGAAAGTTACATTAGGGATACGAACAAGAGATGTGGAGAGAAAGTGAAAATTCAGAATAAATGCTTGGAGTGCAAATATTGAGGTACTTGATGGAAATTGTTTGCATGATGAGCAATAGCTAAATTTGATTGTACAATTTCAATTTTCTCAACTATTAGATATTTCATTTGTGATTGGTATCTTCTACATACAAGTAGCTATACCATTTGGAAGCAGCAGAGTCCAGTTTGGCCCCTCGAGATTCTCCACCATTCACCTAAGATCTGATCTGTTTGATTTGAATTCCATGTTCTCCACTACCCCCAGTTCCTTTTTCTGTCAAGAATTTACTTACTTCTGAATTAAAAGTATTCTTAATGGCCCAACCTCCATTGTTTTCTGAGACAGTGTGTTCCAAAGTTGCACAATCGTCTATGGGGCGAACAATTCTCATCTGTCCTAAAAGCACAACCCTTAATTTTAAAACAATACCTTCAAATGCTGGACTCGCCCATGAAAGGAAACTTTTTTTCCATATTTACCTTGTCAGGATCATTCAGGATCTTATAACTTCAATCAAGTCACTGCTCACTCTTTGAAACCCCAGGAGAAAGAAACCAGCCCGGCCTGTTAAACCTATCATCATAAGATAACATACTACTTACATGTATCAATCTATAAATCTTGTCTCAACCAGCTCCAATGACGTTTAATAAAGATTCCAAAAGCCACCTTAATTACATGCTGCACCTGCAGTCTAACTTTTTGTGCCTCGTGCATTAGGGCACCTAGATCCCCCGCATCTTGGAATTCTGCAGTTGTACTCCTTTTAAGTAATACACTACCTTTTTAATTATTCTTGCTGAAGTGAGCGACTTCATATTTTCCCATATTTTACTCCCTCTGCTGGAATTTGGAGATACGGAGGTTGCATATCATTCTCTGCCACCTGCAATCCGACCCCACAACCAAAGAGATTTCCCTCCCCACCCCTGTCTGCCTTTCGTAGGGACCACTCTCTCCACAAGTCCCTCGTCCACTCCACATTCCCCACCACACCCGGTACCTTTCCCTGCAACTGCAGGAAGTGCTATACCTGTCCCTATACCTCCATCCCAGGCACCAAACAAACAGGTTCACCTGCACATCCATCAATGTGGTCTGTTGCATCTGCTGCTCCTGATGTGGCCTTCTCTACATCGGTGTGACCAAGCAGAGGCTCAGAGACCGCTTTGTAGAGCATCTGCGCTCCGTACGTGACAAACAACAACACCTTCTGGTCACGAACCATTTTAACTCTCCCTCCCACTCCCTGGGTGACATGTCCATCCTGGGCCTCCTGCAGTGTCACAATGACACCACCTGCAAACTGGAGGAGCAGCACCTCATGTTCTGCCTTGGGAGGCAACAGCCCAATGGCCTAAACATGGAATTTTCCAGTTTCAAATCTCCCCACCCCTGGCCTCGTGCCATGACCAACCCTCCCTCTCATCCCCACCTCCTTGACCTGACACAATCTGTCCATTTTTCTCTCCCACCTGTCCACTCCTGCCACCTCACTGATCAATCCCGGTCACTCCCTACCTGCACTCACCTATTCACCATCCCACTTACCTTCCCCAGCCCCACGCCTCCTCTTTCTTTATTTCTGAGCTCCCTTCTTCCGCGACCCCCCCACCCGCACTCCACTCCATTTCTGAAGAAGGGTCCTGACCCGAAACATCAACTTTCCTGCTCCTCTGATGCTGCCTAACCTGCTGTGTTCCTCCAGCTCCACACTGTGTTATCTCTCAACCCAACTCTCAATAGTTTGTTGGAACATAGATGACAAGATGTAGAGCTGGATGAACAGAGCAGGCCAAGCAGCATCAGAGGAGCAGGAAAGCTGACGTTTCGGGTTTGGACCCTTCTTCAGAAATGGGGCCGGGGAAGGGGACCCTGAAATAAATAGAGAGAGGCATTGATGGAAGGTGGATAAAGGAGCAGATAGGTGGAGAGAAGATGGACAGGTAAAGGAGGTGGGGACGAGCTGAGCTGGTCTTGGGATGAGGTCGGGGATGGGAAGATTTTGAAGCTTGTGAAGTCTGCATTGAGACCATTAGGCTGCAGGGTTCCCAAGCGAAATATGAGGTGCTGTTCCTGCAGCCTTCGGGGGACTCCCCTTTATCCCCCTCCACCCGAAAATCAACGAATACCGCTCATGCCTGGATGTTGAACAGTTTTTCCGCCGCCTCTGCACTTACGTCTTTAATCACGAGCCTACCCTCTACTGACCCCTTTTCCCGCCTCCAACACACCCCGTCCTCCTGGACACCACCCCTTGGCCTCCTACCCTCCCTCAACCTCTTCATCTCTAACTGCCGCCGAGACATCAATCGCCTCAACCTCTCCATCCCTCTCACCCACTTCAATCTCTCCCCCGCAGAACGTGCAGCCCTCCGTTCCCTCCGCTCCAATCCCAACCTCACCATAAAACCCGCGGACAAGGATGGCGCTGTTGTATTATGGCGCACTGACCTCTACATCGCCGAGGTCAGACGCCAGCTCTCTGACACCTCCTCCTACCGTCCCCTTGATCATGACCCTCTCCCAGACCATCCACAACCTCATCACCTCAGGTGAACTCCCACCCACAGCCTCCAACCTCATCGTTCCCCAATCCCACACTGCCCGTTTCTATCTTCTTCCCAAAATCCACAAACCCGACTGTCCTGGGCGACCCATTGTCTCTGCCTGCTCGTGCCCCACTGAACTTATCTCCACTAATCTCGACTCCATTTTCTCCCCCCAGATCCAGGAACTCCCCACCTACATCCGTGACACCATCCACGCACTTCACCTCCTCCAAAACTTCTGATTCCCTGGTCCTCAGCACCTCATTTTCACCATGGACGTCCAGTCCCTATATACTTGCATTCCCCATGCAGATGGCCTAAAGGCCCTCCGCTTCTCCCTCTCCTGCAGGCCCGACCAGTCTCCCTCCACTGACACCCTCATCTGCTTAGCCGAACTTGTCCTCACCCTTAACAACTTCTGCTTCATCTCCTCCCAGTTCCTACAGACAAAGGGGTGGCCATGGGTACCCACATGGGCCCAAGCTATGCCTGCCTCTTTGTAGGTTACGTGGAACAATCCCTCTTCCACAGCTACGCTGGCCCCATCCCCCACCTTTTCCTCTGTTATATCGATGACTGTATCTGCGCCACCTCGTGCCCCCACGAGGAGCTCGAACAGTTCATCCACTTTACTAACACCTACCCCAACCTTAAGTTCACCTGGACCATCTCTAATACCTCTCTCTCCTTCCTAGACCTCTCTGTTTCCATCTCTGGCAACCACCTGGAAACTGATATCTATTTCAAGCCTACCGATTCCCATAGCTACCTCGAATACACCTCTCGCCCACCTTCCTGCAAAAATGCCATCCCCTATTCCCAATTCCTTCGCCTCAGCCGTATCTGCTCCCAAGGTGAGGCATTCCACTCCCCGACATCCCAGATGTCCTCGTTTTTCAAGGACCGCAATTTCTCCTCCACAGTGGTCGAAAACGCCCTTGACCGCATCTCTCGCGTTTCCCATAACTCATCCCTCACACCCCTCCCCGCAATAACAACAAAGACAGAATCCCCCTTGTCCTCACGTACTACTCCACCAATCTCCGGATTCAACGCGTCATTCTCCGCCACCTGCAATCTGATCCCACTACCAAGGACATTTTTCCCTCCCGACCCTTATCTGCCTTCCGGAGGGACCGCTCTCTCCATGACTCCCTTGTCCGCTCCACACTCCCCACTAGCCCCACCACCCCTGGTACTTTACCCTGCAACCACAGGAAGTGCTACATCTGCCCCTACACCTTCCCCCTCACCTCCATCCCAGGCCCCAAGAAAGCCTTCCACATTAGCAGATGTGCAGGTGAACATCTGTTTAATGTGGTATATTGTATCCGCTGTTCCCAATGTGGCCTCCTCTACATCGGGGAAACCAAGCGGAGGCTTGGAGACCGCTTTGTGGAACACCTACGCTTGGGTTGTGACAAACAACTGCACCTCCCAGTCGCGAACCACTTCAA